GGAATATGAATCGTTGTCATAGATAATTGACTTAAGCTTTAATTGTGTTTAATTATATGTTAAAGTATTTCATGAACTAAAATTTCATGTACATAAAAAATACACAAATGAGTAATAAAGCAGAGTGCCCCGACGGCTGCTTTTCATGCCACGCTTCTTATATGCAGTTTGACAAGAAACTCTTTACACACTGAATTCAATTTTGAATTCAATTTTAAATTCAATTTTGAATACAATTTTGAACTTTTAATACAAAAATAATGGACTTTTATTCAAATTAACTTTTTTAAATGTTTTATTGTTTCATAATAAGTTTTGAATTAGATTCTAATAAAAGAGATCAAAACTAAATAATCAACCAAAACTAAAATTAATTTTTTCAAGCTGTCAAAAATTTTGCATTTCTCTCATTCGGGCTGTGAAATTTTGTTGAGTACGCATCTAAAACTGAATTACTTTAACTCTTAAAATGTCTGGCAAAAGATAAAGCTTTTATGTGATCTGCTTGATTTATTATAATCACAAGTTGCTCAACAAATCTTTTGTAGAATTAGTTGAAGAGTTTTCTGTATCAAGGAAAACAATTTATAAAATAAAAACCAAGGCAGAAGTGAAGAAAATAGCACAGGTGCATACATGATACACACACATATACACTCAAAGCACTTATATGGCAAGTCACAATTATCTACTATTAGAAATATGTTTTCAAATTCATCAAATTGTTTTAGGACAATTCCACTTTCAGTCTATTTGCAAATGTTGCAAATATATATGAAGGCCAGAAGCTATATGCAATCTGATTTGCTTCCATAGGAAATATGCATTTATCTCCTTAAAGTCCTATAAATCTAAATATCTAGCTAAATATCCCGCTTGAGCCATCTACCAGTCAACTTTAAGTCCAAGTTTCTTCTATCTGTTTACACTGCGTGGCAAGGCCAGCAGCTTGCAGCATTCATCATTTCTTAATGCAATTCCTTGCCGCAAACAGCACTGCCGAAATAAAAAGTATTGTGATCACACTTGGTTTTCCTCCTGCGCTTTGTTCCATTTCCATTCTTGGAAATTACAAAGAAGAAGAGGAAGATAAATTATAAAATATATGAAATAATGTTTGCTCAGCGACTTTGGCAGTGGGGTTAGCTGTTGACTTAGCAGGCGGCACACACACATTTAACTGTTGTGCATGATGACTCCAATACACACGCCCACACACACACACACACACGGCACTCACACACATGGCTGTTTGGTTGGCGTGGAAAATCACAAAAACAAATTAGTTGCGTGTAATTTAATTCGAAATGCTCGCGCGTTAATCAAACAAAATGGAAAACTGTGCAATGGAGCAGCGGCGGCAGCTGCTGTGCCGCTTGCCACTTGCCACTTGCCACTTACCACTTACCACTTCGCACAGTTAAAGGGGAAGCAAATGCTAATTGGATTTTCCCTTAACATGCAAAGCAGAGCATCCTGTCGCTCCTTTTTGGCCCTCTGTGTGTGCGTGCGTGCCTTTGATGGCCACGTTAATAAACATTAAACGCAATTATGTTGTTGATTTTTTTGCTGCCTCAAGACATTCAAGACATGCGCCTGGGCTCCTCGCTGACGTAGATGTTGACGTTGACGTGGCAAAGACAAGTGAAAGCAAATAATCTGTCTTGGAAGGCCTAGCCCGATGCTTCGCTGAATCAATAAATATCAAAGGGCTGTTCTTGAATATGAAATAAGAGTCCTTAAGTCCTTGAAACTGATTAAGCTTAACTGACTTGACAATAGCACCATCTAGTTTCATATCACAGGGATATATAGGCAATTGAATTCAGTAAGCTATAATAAATGTTAGATCTTATTTCGGTCCAGCTCTTCTTTTAACGAATTTGTTCCTTACCCTATGCCACATAAACTTTGAGGCTACAAACTTGGAATTTATGCCATCTATATATACCCCTGATAATAGATGGATAGCCACGCCTACTATAGATGTGATGAATCTGAAAAGCTATGTATGTCTTCTACAGTCTTTTCCAACATATCTGGATTTTTGTTGATTTACCTTGAATGAGTTGAACAGACTGCAAAAATGTTATATGCTTTTTGCTATATCTCTTCGTCAAGCCCTTTCTCTGTTTCTGATCTTGGCCATTTTTTATACAATTTCCTAATTCCTAATGCTCATTCAATCAGTCTGCCTTATTTGCAGTCGTTCTGCCTGTCTCTCCCTCTCTCTCTCTCCCTCTCTCTCTTTCTCTCTATTTCTTTCTATCTCCCCTCTCTGCCGATCTCTCTAGCTGCCTGCCTGCCTGTGTCTGTCTGTCTGTGCGTTTCTATCAATATGTCGGTATCTCTCAGTCTGTTTCTTGAACAGTCTCAACAGTCTCTTTATTTGCCTAACGCACAGTCCTGTTCTCTGCATATTTCTCGTTGTCGCTGTTGTTACTCTTGCTCTCTCTCTCTCACTCTCTTTATCTCTCTCTCACTCTCTCGCTCACACTCTGTCCCTCTCTCTTAAGCGAGATGACCCTCTCTTAGCAGAGTAAGACTGCTCTCTCCTTCTCTTTATCTCTCCCTCCGCCTGTCTTACTCTCTATCCATCTCTCTCAGATGATCTCTACCCTCTCTCCTCTCTCTCTCTCGCCCCTCTTTCTCATTATCTGCCTGTCTCTCTCATACGCCATTTTCTCATTTTCTCCTGTCATTATAACATTCAATCAATATATTTCTTTCCATTTCCCTCAGATTATCTCTCTCCTCTCACTAGCTAATCTTTCTTTTTGCCTTTCTCTCTGTCTCTCTCTCTCTCTCTAACGTCACTTGTTTTTCTTTCTCTCTCTCTAACGTCACTTGTTTTTCTTTCTCTCTGTCTTTCTAACTCCCCATCTACATATCTGTCTCTCCCTCGCTCACTCACTCTCTGTCTCTCTGTTTCCCTCCCTCTCTCTATAAGTACTTATGTATATATTTAAGATCGAGCTAACAGTACGCACACCTTAACTTCAATCGAAAATTTTTGTTTTAATTTTCGTGGCTGTCAAAAAGTTTTTGAGAAACTTTTCCAACAGGCTTTTCCAACTGTTAATCAATTTGATGGTCGGAACTGAAAAACCGATGTGAACTGCTGTGCTTATTTCATTCTTAGGGTTTTTTGCATTGTACGCTCGTATTTTCTTGGCTCCCACACAGTTGGCTAATTAATACGATTAACTACCAAAAAGCAAACACAATTGGCTGCTGGGCAAACAATAACACAAAGCACTCAACTTTTTGTGGGTGGGAGCTTGATGGGGGTGGTTGGAGTTGTCGGATTGCAGGATTTCAGTTTTGTCAGGACACTCAGCCAGGATGGCAGGTCCTTGAGCAAACATCATTACACACACACAGGACGAGGGGAAGCTGAGTTTCAGATGTCGGCACCTAACGCGCTTTAATGCAGGTGATTAATTGCTTTTGAGGTTCGTCGGCTGCGTGTTGGAAAATTTTCAAAATTTCATTAGCTTTGCGTGTGTGTGCCTGTGACTGTGTGTGTGTGTGTGTTCTTGAACTTTTTGGCAAGCTTGTAAAGAGCGAGAGAAGGCCATTGGCGTGACTTCTGCAGACAATGCCAGCCCCATTGCTAGTTGGCTTAGACGAGCTAATTAAGTTAAAGCTGCCGCCCGATTCAGCTGCTGACATAGCCTGGTTCTGCTAATGATGGCATCAGTCTCTCAGCACTCTCCCACCACTCGCTGCTCCCCTTTAAATTGTTTTTGATTTACTTATTTCCGGCCTGATAAATTACATTTGCCGCCAACGACAAAGTTCAGGCCGCCATTTTTGGCTAATGCGCAAAGTTTTCGCCAACTTTTGCTTGTAGTTTCCTATTTTATTTTTATTTTTATTTTTATTTTCCTTGCATTTCACTTGGTTTTCCTCTTCGTTTTTGTCCTTTTGGCGGCTTGTCAGAAATGTTGAATAATTTATTCATATGTTACGTGGCTGACAAATCGCACGTGGCGACATTTTCTGGCATTTTATTGTCTGATCCCCGTCGCGCAGTCCAAATGCAAATTTAATTAGCTTTTGCAGTCTATTAAACTACCATTTACCACAAATGTATATAAATCACATCCAAATCTCTGACAAACGAGCCAAAGCATGACTTAAAGCCGAACAAATTCAAGCTGAAAGAAATCATTTTCAATTTGTTCATGGAAAAATGTGTTTCCTAAGAAAGTTGCCAGCAAAGCGGGTCAACAATATTGATACCCTGTATGAGTTAACTGTGGCAAAAGGCGTGTCACAATACGATATAAGGTGAGTGAAAAATAATAAGGCTAGATATCAGCTCGAAATGCATATATATAAATCTATCTGCAATCTATAACTGGAGTATGTAGAATATGTATAAACAATATAGATATGTATAAACAAATATCATTAAGTAAACATACCCAAAATGTGAATAATATAGACGAAGTAGAATTATTCTCTTATATGGGGCTTCTTTCAACATTGTATTATACTGAATTATGATCTTGAACACTAAATAAGAATCACTCAAATAAAAAATATAAAATAGAATTATATTAAAAAATTCAGTAAATAATTTTAAATAATAAATATTATGTATATTATCACAGCTTTTAGTATTTTTTGTTAGTAAATTTTATAATAATAAAATCTAATAATAATAAAAATATAATTAAAATATTTTACATATATGTATATGCTTCTCGATATCATTCATGTACTTCGCATACAGGGTATTTCTTAGTCACCCGCTTAAGTAATTCACATTTATTCTTGTTATAATTTGTTTTTGCTGCGCTTTTTGTGCTAAGCAAATAATTTGGAAGCTGAGATTTTATTTGCTAACCGGCAAATTGTTTTTTAAAAATGCAAAATGTTTATATTTAAGTGTAAATCCAGGCGTATAAACACATTTATAAGCAATCATAAAGGGAATTGAGCTCTAAACGTAGTAGACCTTGGCGCTATGATTAAAGTGAAGTATAAATGTGGAATTGAAACATATTTGAAACGATCAAATCAGATTTTTTATGATTAATCTCATAAGAATACATAGTACATTAAATGTCTATTTAAAAAAAAACTAGAGTGCGTTCTTTTATATTTTTATAAACAATTACGATTACTAAACATGACTGCGAGAGTAAATGATCAGAAAAGAGAGGTTAAGCAAGAGCGGATAAGAGAACATAAAATAATTTTAAGGCGATTTCAACAAACCGTCGCATGAAACGCAGAGAGCGCGATAACGAGCAGCTGTTACGATAATTGCGACACTCATGCTCAATTTATGAACATTTGGGAGGTCAGTGCGAAAGCGAATTCAGTATGCGGCGAGCAGCTGATACGGCGAGTATCTCAAAATAAACTTCACTGCCAAAGCTAAGCAAACTTGTAAGCAAAACTGAGTGAAACGACCGGAACTAGTAAAGCGAGCAAGGCACGCGAGCGAGACGCAACGAAAACAAGTACGAAGTCACAATGACGGAGCTAAAATTGTTCGATATCAATGTTATAAAAAGTTTACGAACAACAGCGAAGCTTGGCGCAACACATCAAATGCAGCTGGTACAGCACTGCTAATTAAAATAGAACCTGTTTATAACGATATTGTATTTAATATTACATTCGATTTTTTATCTGCAGCGTAACACCTGATTCGCCTGGGAAGAAGCTGAGCGCCAACTATTTAAAATCGAAAACTTTAGCAGTTCCAGCGAATTTGAATTTATTTCAGACCTCTAGCCGTTTTTTTTCGAATATACTACTGTGTGACAGTGCGTTAGCCATGATCGATACATACCATTTCTCATAGCAGATGATACTTACACATAAACTGTATGAATAGATACATATTTGGTTAATACTTTGATTACTTCAAATTAAAAAACACATATTTGTTTTAAGTGTTTATCTAATCAATTTCATATTAATATACATTTCAAACAACAATTCACCCGCGACTGTGAATTATCGTGAAAAAGTAAGTGCAAAAAATATAGATATGTTATTAGTGTAAGCGTATAATGTAACAGTCACTTAATTGTTTACGATTTTTCATACTTGGCCCCACGTTTCAATTTCAAAAAAAGGCATTCGTACAAACAAAAACAGATATTCACATGCCGGCGAACAGCTGAGAGAGCTATAATAAGCAATTCCCTTGAAAATTTCAATCAAATTTCCGCTCCTTGCATCAGCCGTTTCTCGTGTTCAATATATGTATACATATTTGGAGGGTTAGTGCTGAAGCGAATTTAGTATGCGGCGAGCAGCGAACGCGGCGACTTGCCCAAAAACAATTAAATAATAAAGCTACGCGGCGTCTGCTGAAAAAAACAACAACAATCGAGAGTGTGTGAAACGAACAGAGCGAATAAGACACATCGAAATCAAGAGAAATGACGCAGCTTAAAGTGCATGCTAGTAATGCTCTTTTGAAATGTATGCAAGCAACAACAAAATATGGAAGCGCCGTAACAGTAACGCAGAAATGTCAGAAGGTATGTGTACAGCACTGTGCATATAGATAGAAACAATTTATGATCTTCATATATAAATATTTAATTTGATTTTGTTTCGTAGCGTCACTATGGGGATGTCGCGCCGGCAAAGCCCTTTCAAGAGATGCCGAGTACAAGTATACTGAAAACAATGTGGAATTTTTTGCCAGGTGGCAAATACAGTGGAGTCGATCTTAATGATATAACAAAGGATTTGCTAAAGGATAGCGGCGGTAATATTATAAAGATTAAAGGCTTCTTAGGCAAGCCGCCGATAGTTGTAACAGAAAACCCAGATGATTTCGAAACTGTATTCCGGCACGATGGTGTTTGGCCCAATCGCAAGGGTTTCGAGCTCTTGAACTATTATCGCAATGTGCATCGTCGGGACTATTTTGGCTTTGAATCGGGCCTACTTACGACCCAAGATGAGGCCTGGGGCAAATTGCGTTCAGCTGTCAATCCCATCATAATACATCCAAAGAATGTCAAAAAGTACTTGAGTTCGTTAGATCGCATCAACCAGCAGTTTATAGATCGGTAAGGTTAACGACAAGACAATGAGCCCATATATCGGTCAATCAATAGCTTCATAAAATCGTCGATACATTGATGAATTGATAAGGACTTAATATGAAATTGATTTATTCTAGGATTAAAATAATTCGAGATGCTACAACTTTGGAAGTCCCCGAGAATTTCAAGGATGAAATCAGCGCCTGGACTCTGGAATCTGTGGGTCAAATAGCCCTCGATTGCAAGTTAGGGGTTATCGACAATACAAATCCTCAAGGCAGGCACTTCTTTACGCTATTGCAACGTTTTTTTGAACTGTCTGTTGACCTGGAAGTAAAACCTTCTCTCTGGCGTCAGTTCCCGTCTAGTTCGCCCAAATTGCGAGAAGCGCTCAACGTGTTAGATGAGTCCCTAGCCGTAACCGATAAATTAGTGCAGGATGCCATAGAACGTATCGAGCAATCAACTACCGACAAAAGCCATGAAGAGAAAAGTGTTTTGGAAAAACTATTAGCCATTAATCGAAAATATGCGGTTATCATTGCGCTGGACATGCTCTTCGCTGGTGTTGATACGGTAAATAGGTCATTCAATTATTCTACTCAGTTAACTTATCCAATATCTTGCATTTCAGACAACCAGCACTTTTTCGGCCATACTGCTAGCCCTCGCCCAACATCCCGATAAGCAGGCCAAACTGCGAGCCGAAATTCTTGGCATTTTGCCAGAGAAGGATACACCCCTTACAGTCGACTCGATGAGGAACTTGCCCTATTTGCGTGCTTGCATCAAGGAGGCTCTGCGTTTCTATCCACTTATATCGGGCAATATTCGCAAAATCAACCAGGAACTGGTGCTCAGCGGCTACAATGTACCAGCGGGCTGCGAGGTAGCCATGGTCCATTTGAACCTTTGGCGTGATGCAAAGCATTTCTCGCAACCAGATGAGTTCATGCCCGAGCGTTGGTTGCGTGAAAAGCAGCAGGTATCAACCTCTGACACTGGCTGTCCAATGGCTACCAAGTCGAGCCATCCCTTTGCCTATTTGCCCTTTGGCTTTGGCGTACGCAGCTGCATCGGTCGACGCATAGCCGAAATGGAGCTGGAAATTGGCGTCGCTCGCTTGCTTAGGAACTTCCAAGTGGAGTTCCATCATCCAGCGGAAAATCCCTTCATTGCCTATCAGCTGGCTACGCCACGCATTCCGTTGCAGTTCAAATTTATCGATTTAAAGAACTGATTGTGCCTCTATCTTCCTGTGTGCCTTAGGATTTTTAGTAAAGCCGTATTTATGTATCCTTTCACAGTATTTAATAACTAAACTAATTGTCACATGTTAAGTACAGAGTTTTCTTTTTATATGTGGAATGCTGAGTTAAGAGACTAATTAAGTTATAGCACGTTGTCCTGTGTACATGTAACTATGTAAACTTACGTTGTCCTATTGCGATTAAATACATTAACTAAGCCAAGGGAAACATGACAGCAGCTCAATATGTTCTTTTGCTCAATTAACTTTTTGAACTAGTATCAAAATATTCGCAGGGCACTTTTCCCTCGCTATTCAAATATGAATTTACAATTTTCTGCGCTTTTTAGTTTGTAATTAATAAGCAAAAATCTCCTACCGCTCTGCGCCCTTTGACCTGCTCAATTCATGCGTTTGGCCTTTGTCTGACTTTTGCCCGGGGTTAGCTTAATTATAACTTTATGAGCTGCAAAGTTAGTTGCATGCCCCAAAGGTGTTGCGAAATGCGCTAAAAAATATGCAACACTTTCTTTCTATGCATATTCGTTCCTCTTTGTGTGTGATATATATATATATATATATATATATATATATATGTGTGTGTGCATGTGTGTGTTAGCTGACTCTTTGTTGCGGTCAGATGGCCACAACGGGCGGCGGCATCTGCTGCCTGACAGTGCCTTCTGTATATATATTTATATAGCATATGCAGCAAATGGAGTGGGCGTGGCAAGTACCAAGAGTATGTGTGTGTGTGTGCTGTGGCAGCGTTCAAACAACAACATAAATCCAGCGCTGCTGTTGTCTTCCTGGTTATTGTTTATTATACACATACCAAAACACACCCACACACACACATACACACACGCACACACCCAGTGTCTGGTTAACAAACACTGTGGACAGCATATGTGGGCGCAAATAGCGCATACGACATGTGGCCCGCACTATATAAATATAAATATAAATATTTTAAGCGAGACTTGCAGCATCAGCAACACCAGCTACAGCAGCAGCAGCAGCAGCAGCATCTGCTTTTGCTTCAGTATTTGCATCCGCAATTAGTTCAGCTCTGCTGTTAGCTTTAAATTCAATTAGATTTCAATCGCAAAGCACTTCAACTTGATCGATTTGTTAGTTTTGCCTTCAATTTTATTCTGATAAATCATTGCAAATTGCTAAATAATTAAGAAAGCAAATGAGTAAAAAGCTCAGCTGACAGATACGCTGCGCTCTTTACTATGCGAGATTTTTTATATTTTTTTAATAATATCTTGGCATAAAAATATATAATTTATATATAATATATAATAAATATTTAAGCATAAGCAACCCCAGTTTCCTGCTGTGTGCTTAGCCCTATAAATTCCTTGAGTTCTTCTCAAAGGTTTTCAGCAAATTGTGAAGCTATTCAATGGCTAAAAAATCTCTTGAAATTCTTCTTAAGCCATTTCCAGCTTTATACAGGGTATTAAGCGCCAACATAAAATCGCATTTGCTCTGTATGTATGCCAGGGTAGACAAAAATGGAAACGTCACGTTTGGCACATTTAAAGTCGACAAACGGCAGTCAAAAATTCAATTTGGCACAAAATAAACTCAAACAGCAGAAAGTGAAAGCGTGCTTGCTCCTTCCCTACCTTCCGCTCTCCCCTCTCCTTCTCTGTGGCCGTTTGCACACATGTCGTATGCGTAATTTCAATTTAATTGATTTCTAGAGCAATCGCTTTTTGCGCTGCTGCTTAACAAACTTTTTGCCAAAGCTTTTAATGCAGCAAGGACGCGTTTTTTTTTTTGACTATGAATACTTTAATAGTGGGTATAATTATTTAGTCGATAAGTTGGTAACAGTTGAAAGAGAAATGTGATTTATATATATGCCAATCTGATCAGACTAAGAGCTGCTTTGTTATGCTTAATAGTTGATAAACAAGCACAAAATGCAATTAGAAAATGTTATTTACATATTAAAATTGCCTTTTACTTAAGCCTTCAAGACTTTAAATATATAAGAAATATTCGCGAAGTATCAAATAAATGTATTTCTAGTTTCATTGAGTTGTACTACTTATGGCTTTTAAGGCGAAGAGCTGAATAAGTCAAACATTATTTGTACATTGAGTTGGTAATAGTGAAGCATCTTCATTTTATATACACTAAACTGATTTTAATTTAAAGTATCTAAAGTTCAGACTCCTTTATGTTTGTGTTTATCCGCTGATGTCACTCGCGGTAATCCAAAGCAGAAATTGAGTTAGATCCAGGCAAGGGCATTTCTTCATCGACGAGCTAAAAGTAGTTGTGGCTGTTTATACTTTTTTTCCACGCTTTTGCTCTCAGCTTAACTTTGACTGCGATTTGCTAAAGTGGTTTTGAAAATCCACGTTTACGTTTACCATTTTTTCAACTTTTTTGCGTTTCCTCATTTGCCTTTTGCAAATAAATGAGCAGCGTTCAGAGCTGTGCTGATTAATGCAACTTGAGTGCCAGTTCGACTATGGATGTGTGTGTGTGTGTGTGTGAGAGAGTGCTGAGTTTCATGTACAGCACAATTAATCAAACCGCAATTGAGTTTTGCCCTCACGGCGGAAGCTTTGAAATTAATTTGCAGCTGCTTTTCAATGTAAATTAAAAGTTGAAAACCAGAGAAAGAGACAAAGCCAAGCAGACTAAGCGAGCAAGAGAGAAAGATAGAGAGAGAGGGGGAGAGAGCGAGAGAGGGAAATGGAAAGGAGTAAAATGAAGCAGAATGAATTTTTGCGCTGACAACTTAATCTCAATCTTGATTTTTTGGCATTTAACAAACTTAAAACAGATTGCCAACTCCGTTCCTTTGGCTAAATTTAATAAACTAAAACCATTTGCAGTTCACTGAACTGACAGTAAATAAATTTAACCTAATTCGTACATGTCAATAACAACAGGAACCAAGACAAGACAAGCTGCCGTTGCTGCTGCCGTCGCCGTTGCCGTTGCCATTGCCGCCGTTCTGCCCTCTTTCAACTACTTCTTTTTTGTCCTAATGCTCGCAAGAAAAGCAGACTGAATAACACTAACATAGACACCCACACACACCCACCCACACACAAGCACACACATATAGATATGATGCTGAACAAACAAGCAGCAGCAGAGCCTTGGCCCGACTGGATACAATGGGCTTCAAAACTCCTTTAAAATTATCAGAAAATCTGATTTATTTTTTCTAGTTAAGTCTCTATTCTGGAACATCTGGACTTTCTCAACTAGTTTTATTGGCTTTCAATGATTTAATCATCAAAAATATATTTGTTAGCTTATGAAAACAGTTATAATAGTTGCCCAGTAAGCTAACGTTTAGAGATTTCTTATAAAGTTAACTTAAGGCAAAGCTTTACCTTTAATCATAGACTAAATTAAGTAATTATTCATAGTTGTCTGCAAATAAATAAACAATCTTTATTGTTAAAATTTCTAGTTTTTAGTCTATTTAAAATTAACTTTAAATCAATGCTGAGGTCAATTTGTATGCTTATAATTTATGAATAAATTAATTTTATATATTTTTAAAAATTACAATTGTTTTAAAAAGCTAAAATATATAGCATTTCTACTTCTTTATTTGTTAGAAACATTTAACCTTTAACAAATCAAATATAGATCTTATATAGCTAAGATGCTTAAACTTAGCTTTAGCTTATTAATAATTTTTATAAAGTGTGATATTCCATTTTCTTTGTTGTTAAACATTTCCACAGTGCTTTTCTATTGTCTGCTATGAAGTGCAAAGTGTAAAGCAAAAGCCAAAGATGACGACCATTTCTTAGTGTGCGCGTGTGTGTGTGTGTGTGAGTTAGCTCTGCTCGTTGACTATGTCCGTATTTGGCATTTTGCGTTTTGGGCTGTGGCACCACATGCTTCTGATGGGCTGCAGTTAATCCACTTAATGACCTCGATGATTTTATTGATGAGCACCTAACGCCAACGCCAACGCCAACGCCAACTCCGATCCCAATGCGAACATATGCCGCCTGATGATGAAGATGCTGGGCGCCCATATCGTTCCGGTTTACTTTCCACTCCATTCCATTCAATGCCATCTTTTTTTCGTGAATACTCTAACTGAGTTGGATAGGCTCGACTATCGAAATCGAATTGTTACAAACCAAAGCTGAAACCAGGCCCAATCACGACTTCAAATAAGGTGTCATATGAAATCGAAAGCAAAACACAAAGTTTGAGAGAGGCATATGGCTCTTATTATTTACTTAGTAAGCATTTAGAAAGTAAACATTTAATTATCAGTTCTTGAAGCTTTTCCAATCTGCGGCCATCGATAATTATCGATACGAACGAAAGCAAATACGAATGAAAGAGCATACGAAATACTTGAAAGCAAAATCAGCGAATGGTTAATTTTTTTATACCCTGATCCCATTAAAAATGGGAAATCAGGGTATAATGGTTTTGTGCAAATGTATGTAACAGGCAGAAGGAGGCGTGGCAGACCCCATAAAGTATATATATTCTTGATCAGGACGACAAGCCGAGTCGATTGAGCCCTGTCCGTCTGTCTGTCTGTCCGTCTGTCCGTCTGTCCGTCTGTCCGTATGTGTGAACGCGTGGATCTCAGCATCTATAAGAGCTAGAGACTTGAAATTTTTTTTGTAGGTCCGTGTATAGCACGCGCAGGTCAAGTTTGTTTCAAATATTCGATAACTATTCGCATTTAATTGTTATCGAATAAAAACATTATTGAAATGCAGTAAATAAATTATATCTCGAACGTCTTAAGAGCTAGAGCCTCCAAATTTTGTATTTAGTCTTAATTATATTTTATGCAATTTTGATTTTTGTTGGATTTTGGATACCGGCTCCAAATTCCCCCAAATTCTTAGAATTTAAGTTTAGTTGGAACTAGGGCCATTATGTGAAGGCGTTTGCATCTCAACCAAGCCAATAGGATATGTAGATCATATGCTGAAAATTTCATTAAAATCCATTAAGTAAAACAGAAGTTATTAAACAAAACGTTTGGCCAATTTGCAAAGCACATGTCAGCAGCGCCACGCGCACGCATTTTTCCTATGCGTGTGCACACATACATTCAAATGCGTGTATTCTTTTCTATTCCAAGAATTGAAATTGCGATTGAATTAAAGCTAAATATTAGCTGCTACTTATGTTCAAATTTGCAACAGATCGCATAAGAAGGAGAGCGGCTGCGTTGGTAGAGGCGCCGCTCGCATGCAGC